TGCTAGCAGGGGGGGAACAATCATTGCCATTTTAATTGCTCTTTTATGCCATTGCCTGAATGTATTTACAGTAAATTTGACTAGAGTGGCAGGAGAGCTAGCTGAATATACATCTCTTGTCTTCTTGAATATTGCCACTCATGTAGATGGCAACTTTGATCAAGATCGGCTCTACTCCCATCGTCCTCGCTTTGACTCCCTCTGCTGGCATTAAAGACAGCATTTGGTATAAAATAAGTCTATTGAGGGACGCCATGGCTCAGTGGCTAAGATGCTGAGCTTGTCGATCAGAAAGGTTGGCAGTTCAGCGGTTCGAATCCCTAGCACCATGTAACAGAGTGAGCTCCCGTTACTTGTCCCAGCTTCTGCCAACCTAGCAGGAAAATGCAAGTATAAAAATAGAAACCACCTTTGGTGGGAAGGTAACAGCATTCTGTGCGCTTTTGGCGTTTAGTCGTGCCGGCCACATGACCACGGAGTCGTCTTCAGACAGCACTGGCTCTTCGGCTTTGAAACAGAATGAGCACCGCCCCCTAGAGTTGGGAACGACTAGCACATATGTGCGAGGAGAACCTTTACCTTTAACTTAAGTCTATAATATTAAGGGTCCTAAATAACCTCTGGGTTTATTCTGCTTGAGGGTTGTTCGTTTTGCTTTGTGTTTTGTACTTGCTAATTTTTTAAACACATACTTGCAAAAGCCAAAGAGGGAGAGCACCATTTTAGAAGAGGCATTTCTACTACCTAGTTTTTATATAACTTTTTTTGAACAGAGAGGGCTGGACAGTGAATTAGAGAGTTGGCATTGAAGCCCCCACCCGCTTACGTTGTCTGTGCAAAAATCTCTCCAGGGCATGGATAATTCTTCTGCAGGGATTGGATCCTCTTTTAAAATGTCTGCTCATTTTCCACATCCTTGCTCTTTTTACTCATGTGCAAATTATTACAAATTATAACCAAGGCATCTATACTTGGGGACCAGCCAATTAAACCCAGGTTTAATTGTAATGTATGTTTATATGAAGTACATTTTGGAGTTGGTTCTTTGCTGTTTCCCCCACCCACCCCCGGCGTAGTTGGCTGAAGTTCTGAAATTCTCTTCTCTCTGTTCTTTCTATCTTGCTCAAATCTTTTTGCAAAGGAGGAGTGGGGTTGCTTTGGAAAGGGTTTGGGTAGGTGGAGGGGGTTAAAGTTTAAAATACTACATGTTCTTTGCTTCAAGTACAGTTTTTCAGCAATGGGCCAGATGAAATGCTAAAAACGTTTGTATTTAAAATGCTGGCAGATTTACTAAGCAATTGGAACGGAGTTATGTGTGCAGATGTACTATTTAAAAAAAATCCATCTTAAGCAACTCAAATAATAATAATAATAATAATAATAATAATAATAATAATAATAATAATAATAATAATAATAATAATAATAATAATGGGTTGAAAATAGTACTACTCATGGGCCAGTTCATATGTAACAATAAACCACGAGAATAAGCTGCAGCAAATTCTATTTCAGTTTTATGCTGAAAAACCTATCTCCAAGGCATAATATACAGTTAACCTGTATCTTATAAGAGCCATGGTGGCGCAGTGGTTAGAATGCAGTACTGCAGGCTACTGCTGAGTGGCGGCAGTTCAGCAGTTCGAGTCTCACCAGCTCAAGGTTGACTCAGCCTTCCAAGGTCAGTGAAATGAGATTGTTGGAGGCAATCTGCTAACTCTGTAAACCGCTTAGAGAGGGCTGTAAAGCACTTTGAAGCAGTATATAAGTCTATGTGCTATTGCTATTGGTATCTTGACTGGGTAGCAAAAAAACTATGTAGGTAGTTCATGCTTAACAATCACAATTGGGACTATAATGTGGTTGTTAGCAAAATACTATATGACCTCAATATAATTATGACATCACTTCTACCACAGTCCTTAAGCAATCTCTTGTGGTCATTAGGCAAGACATAATGTGATTGTGACTTGCAATTTTATTGCCAGCTTCTCCCCTGATTTTGCTATTCTAAGCTGACTGTGAAGTGCATACATGTGATCATGTGACCTGGAAAGTTATAAAGACTGCAAAACCCGCAAATCTTAATCACGTGACCTTGGGATGCTGCAATGATCATAAATGCAAGAACCAGCGATAAAGTTACTTTTTCAGCACCATTGTAATTTTGAATGGTTGCTCAACAGGGCAAACTTTAAGTGAGGACTACCTGTATAAAATAAATTTGGCTTTTTTTCATTAATCATCCTTAGGATTCAGTAATCATCCTTAGTCCCCTCAGGGAAAAGGGCGGCATATAAATTTCCAATAAAATCCTAAAAAATCCTAAAACAAAAAAATAATAGAAATCGGATGTGAAGGGAAAGTGGACAGGTGAGAGATTCACTGTGACACGTCCTGATAAAGTTAGTATGATATGTGAATGCATTCAGGCCCTAATTCTGCACATCCTCTATTTACTAGGATTAGAGATATTATGAATGTGGAAAATCCTAAAGTGCTGTATTAAAAGAAACTACGCCTACGGAGTTAGTGTTGTGACACCACGGTACATCTATGTATCTGTATCTGCATCTGTAAATTAAAACAAATGCTTTACTTTTTATAGGAACCTTGGGAATAATGCCATACGGTCTATTCAAGAGGATGCCTTTACAAAGCTGAAAAACCTGAAAGATCTGTAAGGAATGAATCCTAATAAATGTTTGCTGTATATTTTGGTCCATTTTTTTTGGTGACATTTCCTCCAGTGACTCCTCCCTCCAATAGCTCTTTTCCATATTACCAATAATTCCATTGTTCCCTGCACTCTTCTTCTTACAAGCTATTTTTGCAAGAGAGCAGATGTCTGATAGTAAAATTCCATAACTAGTGAAATTAGATCTTCCTTGTGGCTGATTTCATTGGGCTGCAGCTCTGCCTTTTCCATTGTGCTTAGAAAGTCCAAACTCCCATCCTCTAGTCATATAAATCATATAGTCAAATACCTGCCCTTCTCATTCCTCCCCTTTTATATCCGTATGATGAAATTTCAGTAATAAGCTTGAACTCATTTAGAAGGGGAGAATTACAAATGGCATCAGCAGAAGAGAATATTTGTAACTTGGCCATGAGCTTGGGTTCTTGGTGCTCTCTGACATTGGTTGTCTTCTTACAGACATTTCATTATTCAACTGCTAGAACTGATGATGTTACCTAGTTGGATAATGAAATGTCTGCAAGGAAGCAGTGAAGCTCAGAATTACAAATGGATTAGCAGGTTTGTCATTTCAACTACGTTGAACTATGCTAAGTCACACTCTCTTTTGCGTTATATATTCTGTTATTTCCCTCTCTTTAAAATACTATGTGGCCTATACAGGTGTCCAAAAGCTAGTATTGGCACAACGATTGCAAAGTTATTTGGAAGATCTACTTCAAAAAAAATTGATGACCACTAAACTAGGTTTTAAGTACAAATCAAAAGCTTAATGAAGAATAGGTTTACGAATGGTTGTGAATTAGGGAATTTCTCAAGCTAATTGTCATGCTAATACATATCAGCTGCTATGCATCAAAAGTCAAAATTAATTGTCACAATACACAATACTTTATGCTGTGCTTGAGAGCTTCCCAAAGAATTCTGATAGCTGTTGTAGAAAGGAATATGCTGGATTAAATACATATATGTGGTTATTGCTAAACTAATTTTCTTATATTCTGAATTTCAAACATGTTTTGGTAATATTTCCATCTTTAAATTTTGAACTTCTCCCCTTTAGAAGTGTTATTACTTGCCACTAGATTGGGGTTATCCAGATGTTATCTACTGCAGAACATACATTTAAACACTGCATTAAAGAATGAAATTAGCACCCGCAAGATGTGACCAAGGTCTGCTTAAATTGGGGCCTATATCTTTATATGACATTTTCCCAAGTAAAATGAAAATTCTTCCCCCCACCCCCATTTACAGACAATAGGCTTGTATGAATCCGGTTTAATTCAGATGGTTAAATGAGTCAGTTTGGAAAGCCAACTGAGTTTGAAGCAAAGGTACCAAATGATGTGTTGGACTGGCATGGAGGCAGAACATTGAATAGTTCGGTCCAAGGCTGATATTCATATATCAACTGATACAGATCATCTTCACATACTTACCTTATGAACATTTTTAACCCGGCTGTTGCCAGTGTTTTTAAAACACTTTATTCTTTCCCTTGTTTTCTTCGCTTTCTCCCAGCCGCATCAACAGTGAGAGCTTCCTCTGTGATTGTCAGCTCAAGTGGTTGCCACTTTGGTTAACCAAGAAAAAACAACAGCTGTTTGTGGAAGCCACCTGTGCCCACCCGGAATCATTAAAGGGCAAAAATATTCTTGAAGTGGTCCCGGAAAGTTTTGTATGTGGTGAGTCTTCACTGCCGCATGGTAATTTTGAGGTTGCTTTGGAGGGTAGCCCTGACACAGGAATGACTATATGTTTTGTGGTCAGCTTATTATTTCATATGCAGTGGAGTGTAGCATCTCCTTTCGTGGTCTGCCTTCACCATTGAGAAGAACTGTAAATCATATCCACAACATCTATCGGGAGCACTGATCCCAAATGAGCTTGGGGACTCATTTGGTGGTCATGGAAATTTGATGATAGAAAGGGTTAGAGCTTGGATGAGAAAGCAGTAAGAGCCTTTCTGAATAGCCTACCCTGCTTTGATTCATTTTAATTTGGGCTCCAGCTTGGTTGACTGCTCCAACCGCTGATTTTTCTTGATTTATTTGACTTTTGTTCCAGCACAAAACAAAAATGATTCTATTTGCTCTTATTAAAGGAAGGCTCTTCCCTGCTTTTTTGTTGCCCTTAACATTTGTTATTTGTGATTCCTTTAGGGTTTTTTTTTTTAATACTACTTTGAGTACTCAAAACCTGGCTAATTCATCTCAGTAGATAAGTAGGGATTATCAGATCAGTACAGGAAATCTGAAAAAGGAAGCTGACTTCATAAAATGTGCTTTGGCCCCAGCGCTTGAGAGCCGATACCAGAGAAAATAAAATCCTTACACACATAGGTGAATAATTTCCATCTTATTTTGTGGCCAGCTCAGAGCTAGTCGAGAGACAGACTCATCTGATACCCATTCAGTAGCCTACTTTGGATTTTGAGGGTATATTTTCTCCAAATTAGACACAATTAATGCAGGTGCTCTTGGGGTGATGTGGTTTCAACCTGTCAGAGTGTATGGGACTGGTTTCAATTGGTGTGAGTGAGGAAGTGAACAAAATCGGTTGAGTTTGGGTTGTTAACAATTTTCAAGAACCAGCAGTGAAGGTCTTAAGCGGGTGGATCTCGGAATCTCCTGGGGCAAAAGTAACATTTTAAAAACTTTTTAGTTTTGCACAGAGAATAGCAGCATCAGAGAGCTTTTTTTTTTTTTTTTGAGTATAGACTTTTAACCTTCCCAAAGCACATTCATAAGGTAAAGCCTAGGCAAGAAATTAGATAGAATATTAAAGCATTAGACACAATTAATCATCCACTTAAAGTATCCCAATTGAATAAAAAATCATCTTCCCCATTTTGCAAGAATGCAATGTTGTTCTGTCACTTACTGGGGTTTGTTTTTTTTTGGAGGAGGGATGCATTTTATTTCATTTTTAAAAACCAAATAATTTTAATAATAATAATGAATAAATCTATTCTCTTTGATAGTGGTTGTATCCACCCCTTGTGTTCTGCATGAGGTTTAGAGCAGTGTTTCTCAGCCACAGCAAACTGAGGATCCATGGACTTCAACTCCCAGAATTCCCTAGACAGTAGCATATCAAAATAACTGCATTTATTTAAGACGTGTCACCACCTTAATCTTATTAAAAATGGCAATTTGGTGACCGCAGATAGACAAGGCCGTGGAAAATCTCTTGGTCTAGGAACAACTGCCAGTTGTGAAGTTGTCACTTCCCCCAACCATATACTGCCTCTCTTGGAGGGGCCCGGGATGGGTGGAGGGAGTGCAGAGACACACTGCTGTTCCTGTCACTCAAAACAGAGAGCTACTAGTTGTGACAGAGCAGCTGAGTCATGTGGGGTTTTTTTTCTCTCATGCCCGGAATGTGCTAGAAGAAAGCATAGTATTGCTTGTCTGTCTGCCTGCCCTCTTCAGAGTCACAGATGTTTTGGCTTTTGGATACTATAAATTTCCCACTCCTCCTCTAACTCTGCCTGGCATATCCACTGCATCTATCTGATACGAACCTTCCCCCACTCCCCCCAATTGTTACAGCCACATGCAGAGATGAGAGAAGATAATGTCTTCTCTCAGACATTAGAGCAGGGATGGCAACTATGATCCTTTTTATCACCCGTGGACTTCAACTCCCAGAATTCCTGAGTCAGCCATGTTAGATAGAACAGGAAGCCGGAATGTCTAAATCAGTGTTTCCCAACCTTGGCGACTTTAAGTCCTGTGGATTTCAACTCCCAGAATCCCCTAGCCAGCTGGGCTGGCTAGGGGATTCTGGGCGTTGAAGTCCACAGGACTTAAAGTCACCAAGGTTGAGAAACACTGGTCTAAATGCACCAGGAGTGATTGTTGGCCAATGTAAAGTCACAAATTTAAACCTGAATGCCTCTCTTCTGTGAATGATCGTTCAAGGCTGCCCTTGGCAGGTGCCATGTTTGAGAAACTCCTGCTTTGTAGCTTATACTAAAGCCTTCATTTTGACATGTGGACTTCCCAAGTGAAGGATCCCTGCCCCTACACAGAGCCTCTTGCAGTCTGGAAGCCTGTAATTAAAGAAGGGAAATGCTATACTTTTTCCTTTGGCTACTTACTGAATTGACATTATGTGCGGCGTTATATAAGAGATGCATGTATCTGTTTTATACATACCACACACACACACCATTTTTTCTTGCATGCCTTGGAATTAGTGAATTAGTGGAAAAGTATTTTTGTTGCCCTTAAATCCTTAAAAAGGATTTTAACATTGTAATTGTTATAATATGTTTTTTGTTAGGTTAGATAGGCTGTCTTATTATATGTTATCCCACAGTTGTTTCTTAGGGCTTGTATCCCCCATTTCAACTTCCTTCTGGTGTTTTTCATAAGGTCTATTACCATTCAACTTCGAATAACAGAATTGCGGAGTTGGAAGAGACCTTGGAGGTCTTCTAGTCCAACCCTCTGCTCATGCAGGAGACTTTGCACCTCTCTGTCTTCTTGTGAAGAGAGAGGTCTTACAGTCCATAAAATCAGCCCCACACCAGAAATACAATACAATGCAATACAATAGCAGAGTTGGAAGGGACCTTGGAGGTCTTCTAGTCCAACCCCCTGCCTAGGCAGGAAACCCTACACCACTTCAGACAAACGGTTATCCAACATCTTCTTAAAGACTTCCAGTGTTGGGACATTCACAACTTAATTTCATGCAAAGGGGAACAGGCAGTAGTAACCGCATAAATGCAAATATTATAAATGCAAGTAACCCTCACTTAACAACTGCAGTTGTGTCTAGAATTTTACTCCTAAATCATTGTGTTTGTTAAATGTGTCGTCATGTGACCCGATTTGATTTTATGACCATTTTTACTACGGTTGTAAAGCAAATGGTCGTAAAATCAAATCGTGACACATTTAATAATCACAATGACTTAGGAGTAAGCTAACCATCCCCCGGTTTGTGGTCATTTAGTGAACTACATGATTGTTAAGTAAATCCATTCTCCCAAATAGGTGGTTTTTGCCCCCAAAAAACCAACCTGGCAAGAAACACTGGAAACTGACAAAAAGGTTATGTGACGTAACTGTGAGCTGGTTGTTAAGTGCTGAAAACACCATATCATTGCAGATCATATGTGTGCAGAAATTGTAACTTCAAGGATGAGTTGTAAGTAATTTAGCAGAATAACAGAATAAGAGAGTTGGAAGGAACCTTGGAGGTCTACTAGTTCAATCCCCTGCTCCAACAGGAAACCCTCTACTGTGTCACACAAATTGTTGTCCAATCTTTTTTTTTTAGTCTGTTGTAACTTTGACCAGTTATTAAGCAAGGACTAGCTATAGGTGTGAGGGCCAGGACTGATTAGTACTTGGATGGGGGCCAGTGAGGAAATGTTTCAGAACTGAAGTGATAGAGAAGCAAGCAAACAAACAAACAACATCCTGGAGGAAGTTAGCAACAATTTGCTGTGTTATTGTTTCCCCAAAACACTGGGTGTGTCACAAAGGTGGGTTCCTACTAGTTCGGACCAGTTCAGCCAAACCGGTAGTGGTTTGCCAGCTTGGGTCACCAGAACCGGCAGTGACCCAGGCCTGCCAGGCCTCTGAACCGATTCCCCAGTCGGGGGCTGCATGATTTTTTCATTTTTTTAACATTCTGCGCATGCACAGACCTATTTATGGGCAACTGTGCAAGTGTGCGGAGCAAAATTGTTCAGTGCACGTGTGGAGCAAAATTTCACTTGCACTTGCACCGGCAGTAATGCACTGGCAGTAACGCTGGCAGCAACCCACACCTGGTGTGTCAGTGACATTTTGCCTTTTCAGGGTAGTGAAATTCTACAAGAAATGCAAGGGGGATGGAGAACGGGGATTGAGATAAAGTGTACAGTTGTACTATATTTGAATGTCATTGTCGGAGATTAGTGGAATGCTTTTCTTAATGATAGTCAACTGAAGCTTGCTGGCATGTTTTTGGTCCCCTTGCATCCTTTTAAAGAGAGGATGGTCTATTTCTTTTCCAGACGATTTCCCCAAACCCAAAATTATTGTTGAACCAGAAACCACCATCGCTGTCCTGGGCAAAGACATTCGCCTGACGTGCTCTGCAGCCAGTAGCAGCAGCTCTCCCATGACGTTTGCCTGGAAGAAGGACAGTGAGATTCTGCACCATGCCGAGATGGAGAACTTTGCCCACGTCCGAGCCAGGGATGGGGTGGTGATAGAGTACACTACCATTCTGCACCTGCGCCATGTCACTTTTTCCCACGAGGGACGCTACCAGTGCATCATTACCAATCATTTTGGCTCTACCTATTCTCAGAAAGCTCAGCTTACTGTTAATGGTGAGTGAAGAAAAATGTGGCTTGAACATTATCTGCATTATAGAAATTAGCTTTTTTTCCCTATGTTTATTATAATGCTGTGAAGCAGCTTCCTTTATCTTGAAAACATTCCAGGCACTGGTGAAATTCAATTTTTTCCCCTACCAGTTCTGTGGGTGTGGCTTGGTGGGTGTGGCTTGATGGGCGTGGCTTGGTGGTCATGTATCCGAGTGGGTGTGACACACACACAATGCAAAAGCAGCTGGACTTCACACAAAATGGCTCATGCAACAAGCAGGAACTTCACAGAGTCACAGAGTGCTCAAAAAACTAACTATCTCACTTGACGCAAAAAATAACACAAAAGCTGCACACCTGACTCACACACAATGTAAAACCAGTTGGACTTCACACAAAATGGCCCATGCAACAAGCAGGAACCTCACAGAGTCACAGAGCTCAAAAACCAACTATCACATTTTACACAAAAATAACTGCACACCTGACTCACACACAATGTAAAAGTAGCTAGACTTCACACAAAATGACCCCTGCAACAAGCAGGACCCTCAAATCAGCTACAGCTGATTGGTAGTAAAAAAAAATGCTAAAAAAGATTTTAAAAAATTCCAACAATTGTGTTATTACAACTGATTGTCGCACAGCTGATTGTCAGAACTTTGTTTTTTACTTTTTATTAACTACCACATCTGGAGGCACCCATCATGGAGAAAGTGATCCAAGCCTCTCTCCTTCTAGATGTAAATATTAGAGCAGTGTTTCTCAACCTTGACAACTTGAAGATGTCATAGGCTTCCACTCCAAGAATTGGAGACTGGGAAATTCTGGGAGTTGACATCCACACCATCTTAAACTGTCAAGGTTGAGAAACAATGCACAGCAACAAAAAGTGGAATGACGCCAAAGTGTTGTGAACAACAGTAATAATTCCTTTCTAGTTTATTGCGCAAAGGATTGGTTTGCCATTGTGTAAAAAATATTCTCCTGCGTAAGTGATGAGATTTATGATGCATCAGTCTTGTAAACATTGACTTGCCTCATTGGGATTTTTCCCATTGCCTTTATCTAAGTGTTAGTCTTCGGCATTTCTTAAATTAACTTAAAACGCTTCTTTGGAGTCCTGTGTTTTAATTTAATAATGTTATAGGAATTGAATGTTGATCTGTAAGCTCCACTGAATGAAAGGGTTGAGGTCTGTGTTCAAATTGCATCCCTATAAATCTCCTTCCTTCCTTCCTTCCTTCCTTCCTTCCTTCCTTCCTTCCTTCCTTCCTTCCTTCCTTCCTTCCTTTCTTGTTCCAAATTCTT